TTTATGATCTATGGGTTTCTAAGATTGGAAGAATAGACTACAAGAATCACCAATTATTGTGTTAAGAAAAACAGTATTTTTCTTGGAGTCTAGTCCATAATTTACATGTAGCCAAAGAACACAATTTCATACTATATAGTAGTATGCTTTTGTAATAAGCATTATCCTTTTCTAATATTAATCCAAGTGAATTTTCTTCTGACTAGTCTATACAAACCTGAGTTACATACTTTTTATCATCCCATCTATGGATTTCCTGAAATCAAAAATATAACAAAATTTCAATATTAACTCTTAACTAGAATTTTTAAAAAATTATTGATCCACGATTTATGTCATTTATAGTAATCTGCTTTCAAGTTTATTTTTTTTTCATGATTAAGCTGCAAAACATATATTCTCAGAAAAATTTATGTTGTCTCATCTTAAATGTAGCAGTTAAGAGCTTGGACTTTCCAGTGAGATGGCCTGATTTGAATCCTGGTTCTACCACTTAATACTTGCTGTATGTGTAAAGGGTTAAATTATTTAAATTCTATACATCTTAGTTTCCAGAAGGAAAGGAAAGGGGGAGGGGGAGGTAGAAGTAGGTAAAGGGGAATAAATGGTGATGGAAGGAGACTTGACTTGGGGTGTACCCTTGGAACCTATGCAATTTTATTAACCTATGTCAACCCAATAAATTCAATATATTCAAGCTAAGAGTTGTTGTGAGGAGCATGCATATAAAGCTCCTTTGCAGTATCTGGCATTTAGTAAGGTTCTTAATAAGTGGAAGCTATTAACAATAATAATAACAACAACAGTAACAACAGCAACAGCATGTAGAAGTAATAAGTGCCCTATTGGACTGAAAGATATTATACTGCAACTTTTAAAAATGATGCCACAGTTTTGATTCTGAAATGAAAAAAGGAGCAACTGCATATTATAAGACTTGTTTTCTTTTGTTCATCTCTTCTAAATAATTTCTTGTTATCATATTAAGCAAATGAAATTAAGCAAAACAAAAATGAGAAGACTGGGTATGTATATGTGTACACACACACACAAACACACATATCTCTAATGTGATATATACATTTTCAAGAAGTTGTAATAAAAACATGAGGAAAAAGTCAAAAAGGAAACAGGAAGAGACAGACTACAATGAGGGTAATCATGTATAAAAATGTAGGAAATTTCCAAGTTCAACTATTTGAACAATTAATTCAAAATCACATTATTATAAAAATATATATACTGTAATTCATCTGGTAATTAGCCTTGGAGACAGATCCATAAGTCTAGAAAAGTTGGATATTTTCATCCTTTCTTATCAATTAAGGCAAAAGAATCCCACACATTTTCTTTAAACAAAACCGAACTGCTACTACAGTTACAACTAATAAAAATTTATAAAGTATAATATTTGATACTGGGATTTCTGGCATAATTCATTAGAAAGTACATAGAGTTTCCATACATCAATGTAGACTCCCCAACCACAAAGAAAAATAAAAAAAATTAAAACAGAATGAATGTATCTGAAAATATATTCCTTAGAACACTAATCGCATAAGATACTGGAGTGAAGGACAAAAGGGTTCAATAGTTAAAAAAAAAAAAAGGTGAAGACTGGGGAGGGCTTCTCTCTCTCCCTCTCTCTCTCTCTCTCTCTCTCTCTCTCTCTCTCTCTGTCTCTCTCTCTCAGATGAACAATACTGTGAACATAAAAGGTTCTGCGAAGTCCTGCAGTGAGCAGATCTATTTAAATTTGTTTAGCCAGTGCTTCCAAAATATATTTAGTCATAGAATCCTTTTCTTCAGGCAATACCAAAGAACCAATCAGTGTTCTTCATAACAAATTATACTAGGAAATGCATAATAAATTGCCTTGATTAACTATTAAAAGTGTAATTTCATATGCACCTGTCCCAAAGACGTAGTCACTGGCAGAATCTGCTAAAGTCTCCAACTCAATTCTGCCAATAAATTCAATAAAAAATAAATTTTAAAAAATTAGTTCATAGTATTTCACATCAGGGGGAAAAACTAACAAGCCTAGACCTGCATTTATACTATCTTTAGCAATTTGTACTTATTTCCAGAATATGTGTTTTGATCCCTTTACTGCCTGTCTGTTATTTAATCAAGTCCAAACACCAAGTTTCTAATACCTGGGAAAATCTAAGAATGAATGTGACCCTCCTCAGGGGTCCTCAAATTTTTTAAACAGGGGGCCAGTTCACTGTCCCTCAGACCGTTGGAGGGCCGGACTATAGTTTAAAAAAAATATGAACAAATTCCTATGCACACTGCGCATATCTTATTTTGAAGTAAAAAAACAAAACGGGAACAAATACAATATTTGTATTTGCATGTGGCCTGAGGGCCGTAGTTTGAGGACCCCTGCTCCAAGTCTTTGATTTTTTTTTTCTGGGCTTCATTGTAAGCTAAGAAAATCCTATAGCACTGAGCTCCACCTTCAAATAAAAGAATACTAAACTCAGTTACTAGCATCTTATTAACTGGTGTTATGAACAACATTGATGTGATTCTACAATTAATAATGAATGTTCCACAACCTTAATCCTGAAGCAAAGTAGTGATTGATTATTACTTCATTCCCCTAACATCTCTCTAACATCCCTATTTTGTACACAGAACAAAATACATACAGTAATTACTACTTTATCTACTGGAGGTTAAGCAATTTGCCCCAAGTACCAATAGTCAGGAGAGAACAATTTCTTGTTGGACGGACACTTGTACATATTACAACTATAGAAATTATATTAGATAATCACTCTGAAATCTGAACAAAACAGGAAATTCCTTTACTAATAGCTTATTATTTAAGGAATTTTCTTCTTTGGAAATAATTTTGAAGCACAATTTGCTAAAAATCAAAACTTGAAACGAAAAAAAAAATCAGATGGCATACTAGATAGCTTTTTGTGAGTACAAAAATTAAGAACCAAGTCCTAAAAACTGTAATGAGGCATTCATTATTTTGTCTTTGTGTTAGATGAAACAAAATAAGTAAGCTGCAATTAATTCTGGGTAAAGTGTGAATGTGAATGATTATGCTGCCAAGCTGTGGCATCATTTTCTTCCTAGCTTACTGGTTCCATTTAAAAATACATAAAAGTATAACAAAATGTGTAAGATGAAACAGACATCAATACTTTTTTAAAAGTCTAACAGAGAAGACACAATGACTAAAATTGTGGAAATAATACATTTTGGTAACCTATGGACATTTAGTCATTGATTTTCAAATGAAACAAAATAACCTGGTATTAAAAAAAAAGAAACACTTTAAAACATCTATGGCAGAATACATGTAATCACAGTATATCATAATATAAAATATTATATTTTTAATATTTTACCAGAGATATGGCAAATGGTCGAAGAAAAATATTGAACATGAAAAGAGTCAAGAATATTGACAATTCAGTAAAGGAAAATGAATTAAATAATCAGGTTCAAGTTTTGTAAGTGTGTGTTTTTTTAATGTAGAAACAGAGGTAACAAAAATTGGTCTTCACCTGGTAAGTGTGTACTCCCTGAGTCCTGAATGCAAATTCATGGCAGAAAAAGTACCTATGCATCCACGCAATCTTTTGTCTCGACCAATCTTCCATGTTACAAACAGTGGGCTGTAATGGAAGATAAAAACAGGGTAAATCAATCAATCAATTCAACTTAAGAATTTATTGAGCATTTACTATATGCAAAGTTAGATGCCTGAAATATAAAGACCAAATGACAGGACCTCAAGGGGCTGTGTCAACCCAATAGGACTGCATTTAGCAATAATTACAGCTACAATGTATTGAGCATATCCTATGTTAGGCAGCACAATCAACGTTTTAAACAAATTATCTGTTAGCCTCATCAACACCTCTAAGAGGCTAGTGCTATTACTAACATTTCTATTTTAGGTATGAGGCAGTCTCACAGTTCATACATAAAGTAGGAACTCCAACTTAGACAATCCTGACTATAGGACCTTAACCATCATTTCCAAAATGCCATCATAACTGACTGCCTGATTCCTCATTTAAACCTCAAATTACTGATTCATTCATAAATCTAGTTTTAAAAATCTGGGGTAAATCACCAGTTTCAATAAATACTTAACTAAACATATTGGGACAAAGCGCTGTAAAAGGTGCTACAGGAAATACAAAGTTGCCTAAAACATAGTTGTTGTTCTCTAGGAGCCAGTACAGAAGGCAGATACGTTCATAGTAAACTGCTATAAATTAAGCTACTGGGATAGAAGAAAATTTCATCGTGCTTGATCATCTTCAGCTTGGCTTATAAAAATGAGTAGGGTTCGGAGATGAAGGACAACAGCAAACATTATTAACAAAGTAATTCTTCAACCATTTATATGGACAGAAAATTTATTTTAAATTTTAGATAAAATTATTGCCAATAAGTACAATCTCTCAAGCATCAACCACCAAAGTATAAACTGTAATATAATGGCATCAAGAAAGTAATATAGTTTTAAATGAAGTTTAATACAGTAAGTGTTTGGATTCTATAGCAAACCACTGACAGCCTCACTTATTGGTTAAGTCTAAAAGCAATGATTTTCATCAGAAGCAACTTTATATGTTTTATGAAATAAATTAATTTACACACATTAGGACATTTTGTAAAATAATAAACACTTATAGTTGGGGATGGCTCGTGTTAATATGAGTATTAACAGTATTGTTAGTATCACATAATAGATTTCAACTTTCTAAAATTTAAATTTTAGGGGAACATACCATATGTCATGTATTTGTGATAATATGCTGTTGAGTCAGAGAACACATTCTTTCTTTAAATTAGCCTATAGTGGGTCACCAGAGGTTGAATAGATATCCTGTTGAAGCACTTCAATCATGCACCTCAAACATTTAAATTGTGCTCTGACAGGTAGCCACAACAGCAGACAGGTTCCCAAATAAACAGTATACAAACCAAGGAGCAGTACTAAGAATTACCTTCTTCCTGGAGCCAAATAACCAGAGGCACTGAAAAAGATGACTAAAGTACAGGGCCAATCTGTGGTCGATATTAGTATTCAAGTGCTGAATGTGTGTAAAGATACTAAAATAAAAAGCAAAATGTAAATTCCAGGTTTTCTGTTTTCTACATCATGTGTACTGAATATCTTATAATTTGAGACAAGATTCTAATGCCCCCATTGGAAATTTTCTCTAATTGCTCTTGACTAATATTAGATCAGGAAGACTGGAATTAGACAGAATTATTTTCTCACAAATATTAGTATCCTAAAATTCACACGTTATCTCTAAATATGAATTTCACCTCTTCATTTTTTACTTTCTAATTTGAAGGACTCAATGTCAACGACCATTATATGGACAGTAAGATATTGATCCTCAACAACACCTATGCAAAATATCTCTACACAAGCCATGTCCCTTGGCAGACCCTGAACAAAGTGAACCACACTGTACTAGATATATCATGTCTTTAAAATACCATGATGGCTTCTCAATAACACAGAACTAAGGGGCATATTCTCTCCTCAGTGACTTGAGAGAGAAATCTAAAAGTGCAAGTGAATTCATTTCCTATCAGAAACACAAGAAATGAAAGCCTTTTAAAAGTACTTTCAATTTTCTTATTTATCCCACTAAAATATATATAATACTCTCTACTCAAGAAAACATTCAAAATTCGTAGGATAAATAGAAAAGACAGATTAAAAATATGTTATGAAATATGTTAGAAGACACATAGTAGGGGAATTATACAGTTTCTTATAATGCCAATAGAGGCCCAGTGCATGAAATTTTTGCACAGGTAGGGTCCCTAGTGGCTGCCAGTCGGGGTCTCCCTTCCCCCAGCTGCGTGCCACCACCACTGGCCAGAGCCTCCCTTCGCCCGGCTGCCAGCTGGGTCCTCCCTTTGCACCTGCCTTGGCCTGGCGCCGCCTGCTCACCTGCTCCACCATCCTGCTGAGGTCCCACTCTTGTCAGGGCCCATCGGAGCTGACAGCGCCTCCACTGCTGTCTCCTTCGTACCCACCTTGGCCTGGCACTGCCCGCTCACCTGCTTCACCATCCCACTGTGGTCCCACTCTTATCAGGGCCCATGGGGGCCAGCAGTGCCCCCACTGCTGCCCACTGTCAGTGCCGGTCTCTGACGCCCTCTATGTTTCAGGCCATCCCCTAGTAGTCAGCGCACATCTAACTCCCGGTTGGTCAAACTCCCGCCGATAGGGACAATTTGCATATTAGCCTTTTATTATATAGGATGCTTTCACTGATGAAGGGATGATATAATCAGGAGGTAGGGCTCTAGAGGATAAGCTGCATTTTGCCAGGCAGTCTGGGAAAAAAGGCACTCCATAATAACTAAGAACATGAAGATGTAGAAGTGCACAACACTGTGTTCTCTTCCAGATTTAACATTCTATACATTTCAGTCACTAAATATGTGTTCTAAAGAGCTCTTACAAGAGGCAAAGCCAATGCAGAATTGTCTGCACTCTCCCTGTTCCTTACCAACATTCACTCTGGTATTGTGGGGAACTATCTGTGTCAAAGATGTGAAGGAAATCTACTTGACAACCTCACTGTGTTTATGGCAGATGCTTAAAGATGGAAGAAATCAGACTTTTAGTAGACAGAATAAAACTATTCCTTCAAAACCTGGGACTCTAATTCCTCACTTGCAAAGGATCATCTAATACCTTTTATAAAGAATACATATAAGGAATTAAAAAAACACACAAAATACCTAAAAGCGATATTTAATGGGAGAAAATTGGGAAGTTGATGATTTTAAAGTAGACGGAAGCAGAATAAACATACCAGTAAATGAGCACAAAAGATTATATCTTGAGAGTGATAACTGCTTTGTACAGGGCAATGACTACAGGGACATTCACTATTATCTAAAAATAGCAACAAAAAAGTTTTATTTTTTTCCCAACAAATAGAGGGAAAAAATAGGCAAAGTAGAAAAAGAGATTTAAGCCTGTTGAGAGAAGCTGCTCAATGACAAGGATATAAGGAAAATAGTTCATGGTAGGACAGAAATGGAATATTTTTGGAAAATACTTTTACCATATGGTTTAAGATCACCTGTATACATTGAAAAAAATACTACAAAATAGAAAAGAGCTCAAAATGAAATGAAATATTAATGGAAATGTTTATCTGAGGATAAGCAGACATTGCTTTTTAAGGAATTTTCCTACTTCTGAACATTTTATACCACTATGTTTTAAGAAACCTTGGGAGAAACTCTCTCCATTTTTTCCCAGTCAGTAGACAGAAACACTTAGTAACTGCCTAATCTAAGTGAATCCTCCCTTCCAACTAGCAGCCAATACCATCAGGTCAATAGTAGTAGCTCTCAGGGAAATGTAGTTGCATGAAATCAGAAAGCAATATATCCTGGGCAGGATATTCCCCAGTCCAAGTTGCATGCCACTTCCTGTGCCCCTCTTTAAGACTGTCCTATTGATGCAGGCTAGAACAGGTTAGATATATGTTAGTAGGAGAGGGGAACAACTATGAAACAGGCGCATTTACTTAACAATATTTTATCCTAAATCCTATTTCCCCAGCCATACCATGGCAAAAACAGAGGTTAAAAAGAAATAGCAGCCTTAGACATTTGTAAGCCCCCACTCTTACAATTTGCTCTTCATTAGAATTAGATTATTTAGAATGAAGTTTGTAGGTGGTAACATTAACAATGATATCAATCCCCACCAATGTAATACTAATTACTATAACATATATATTCAACAAGATTATTAATATTGTAGGTGGATATGGGTAAAGAGAAAAACCCTCTAACTTGGTTCTTTCCTTCTGCCTACAAATAATAATTGCCTCTCAACTATGTTCAGGTTCTTCTGCTACTTAGTTCAAAAATCCAACTGAATTACTCATAATGTCCAACTCAGAGAAAAATAGAAATGGTGGTTTTCCTTTCATCACCTGGTGAAAACCTCTCACTTCTTGTTCCAACACAAAGTTATGTATATTATTTACAAATTATATAAACTACAGATCCAATTCATAAATATATACTCAATATGGTTAAATCCTGTATTAGTCTGCTTGGGGTGCCATGACAAAATACAATAGACTAGATGGCTTAAAAGAACAGACATTTATTTTTGCACAGTTTTCAGGCTGGAAAGTCCAAGATCAAGGTTCCAGCAGGGTTCCATTTCTGGTGAGAGTTCTCTTCTTGGATAGATGACTGCTTTGTCCTGATATAGCCTTTCCTCCGAGCACTCAGAAAGAGCCAATGATCATGCACATGAGCTCTCTAATGTCTCTTCTTATAAGGACACTAATTCTATGGGATAAGGGCCCCACTCTTATGACCTCATTTAGCCTTAATTACCTCATTATAGGCCCTATCTCCAAATACAGTCACAGTTGGGGTTAGATTTCAATGTATGAATCTTGTGGGGACACAATCTAGTCCACAGCAAATCCCTAACAAAAATGTTAGCACATAGTTGAAAGTTTATATAATAGTGTATCCAAAGTTATTACTTAAAAGAACTTTGAAGAATTACCTGTTTCTTCTTCATTTTACAGGCAAAAACCAAATAGCGACCCAGGGAGACTAAATGCAGAGGCACCAAACTGGTTAGTGGTAGAACTTTGCTGATTCTTCAAATTCTCTTACAACCGATTTAATTTTCCACCCAGTACAGGAGGAAAAATTGTGTGTAGCATATCAGAGAATAGGAAAATCACATGAATACTTCACAGTACTATGCAGGTAGGCATAAGCACAAATCTCCTCCTCCTCAGAGAGACTAGCTGAGAAGATACCAGGGCAAACTGGAAATGCTGAATAAGCTAGAAACACTAGACCCAATCGACAAATGTTTATACCAAATTTGACATGCTTGGTCTACACTATTCCCATTAAATGCTCATAACAAAACCTGCCAGTTTATTTTTGATGGTTTCCCAGCACCTGTTCTGACACCCTCTCAACCTTCTTGCTTCATTTTTTTATATTGTTTAGCCAACCTATCAAACTCAGGTGTTTTAGGAATATCTACAAATTTCCATCTAAATTTCATTTACCATCTGATTATTTAAGTAATTCATATTACTTAATGAGACTTTCGAATGAATAAATGATTAATGAATGAATAAGGCTTAACTCTTCCAGATAATTTGAAATTCAAATTGATAGAAAGCCCTGAAAAGAGAGGAATAGAAAGGGGTAAATGGGGGTAAGATTCTAAAGCATTTTGTACTTTCTCAGCCACACTAATCCTTTACTGAAGAGAAGGAAAATACACTAAATCACCAGTATAGCCTATACCACACTTTCCCTCTAACCTTTGTAATTAGTCTGTATCCCATGGAGCTCAGGAAAATAAGGAGACACAGACAGCATAGTTTAGTATAGAAAACCACAAATATCTGAAAGTGTGAATCAGGAATTACCAATCTTTCAGTAATTTCCTCTACCTGGTATTCCCAGAAATTCTATCATAACAGCATTATGTTTTTATTTTCCCTGTTTTTATAATGCTAATTTAACTGGCAAATGCCAGAGGAAGAGAGGCAGTCTAAAGACTTACATATGACTGGAAATGTTGAAAGTATGTGTGTGCCTTGTAAATCAAGGATAATCACCACCAACATACAACCAGCCAAATCACAAGCACACTTTAAAAGATTAGCTTGATTCTGCCAATTTTTGAGCTAAAAGAATCATTTCTTCCTGTTAGCAAGACCAAATCAACAATTTTCAGTAAGCTAAAAAAAAATTCAGTCTCAGACTTGACATATTGCAATAGTCTGTCTTATTAATTTGTTTTTTTATAACCCCAAATTAAATGGAAAAAACTACCTGCATTGGAAAAAATACCATATTTGCACATATTTTCTCTTCTTAGTTGACACTGCAGTGGGTATTAAATTTAACATATGATAGCATTGTAAGGATGAAATAGCTGTGTTTTTTCTTATAATAGGAATAAACCACAAATCTTTATTATCTGAAAATGTAACTCCATTAAATTTTAAATGACAAATTGCTATAGATTTCCAAAATGAAATAATTTCTT